AAACTATTAAACGCCGAATGCGTATCACCCCACGAGGTGCGAGCACCAGATAACGGATTCAATAAAACTGGCTCCTTACGACATTTACTGCAGAACGACAAATGTTGTCGTTTTTTGGTCCAAATTAACTGATTAATAGTCGGGATCGCGCGAAAAGTTATCGTGCATGGGGAATTTTAGCGGCAGATAATCCAGTATCAGCCATCCACGATCGTCGTGAAACTGAAAAATTTTGAACTCACTATCTTCTTTTTTTTTCTCTCTCTCTCTCTCTCTCTCTCTCTCTCTCTCTCTAACACGATCGATCACGATTTGGTCTCCGTGATGTAGACTGGACGGCAAGATCCGGGGGATCGAGAGGGACACTTTGCTCCCGTGGGAAGCGGCTACCGATCGCGCGCCCTCTCGTCTGGAAAACTGGGTTTTGGAGTAGGTACGTCCCCGTTTTATAAACTCTCGGACTTTGTATCAGCGGTATCCTTGACTTAGCATGCCTCCCTCCAGTCGCGTTTTTCAACGAACATGCCGCGCGCGCGTCCGTCGAACGAGCGCGACTAAAACCGCTGACCGACCCGATCGGTCGTGACGATCACATAACTTTCGCCGATTCTCTCTTTCTCCTGGCCTTCCCCTTGGTACCGATGCTCTTGCGGCTCCAGGATCCACCCGTGACTGGCAGAAGGGAGACTCCTGCGTCTTTCTCGCCCTGTATTCCATTCGACACTCACATATGGAAAAAAATAATTTTGTTGAAACAATTTTGAGGCATCTCCATAAATTTATCACTGTTAAATTTGTAGTGTCAAATTGTATCTAATTTGAGTTATTTTTTTATAGCTCGCTAATATTATTGTTCAATGTGTCGTTAACTTAATTGAAACAATGAACAATTTAACTCAAGGAAATGTATTAAATTCCATTCAAATTTGATATTACTTACTACTTACTAAGTTATTACTTACTAAGTGTGCACTTAATGTATGTATGTATGTGTGTGTATACGTTGTTTACTTTAAAAATAACTATAAAAATAGATAGATTTACTTTACATTTTGAATACACATATAGAAGTTAAAAACGACAAAAAAATGTTATTTAACTCAAAGGATTGAATTGCCATTACTTTTTTTATATATAACGATGATCTGAGTCTACAGATTTGAAAATAATTTTGTTGGATTATTAAAATAATTATGTAGGATTCTCAAACATGAGTAATGCTAAAAAAAAAAGGTTTTTTGACATTTTAGTAACCAGCTTGAGAACGACCTACATATAATTATTTTCACGATAACAGAAAGAGAAGTGGACTGCAACGTTCACATTGGCATTCCAAGAATTCGCGAAATGCATAACTTCTATAATTATTTTGATGGTCCACTTGATACTCTAAATACTTCGAAGCATTCTTTGATTGATCAGTCAATAAAACTTTGTCTTCTGATCGATCAATCAAATACTTCGAAGCATTTATAGAGTTAAGTGGACTGCACCCCAAGTTAAATCTCTTAAATTCTCTCGGAGCAAAAGTTGCACTGATACGCGTTAATATCGTTTGTCTTTTTAGAGATCAAATTGTAATCTAAATGGAAATAGTCGCCAACTTATTATTACTAATCCGAATTGTCGACGCAAATCGGCCTGAGTGCTTATAATTGTGCTCGCTTCGCAAATCATTCTCTTCTCTTGTTAACTGTGCGAAATAACCCCGTGAATGACCTTCTGTCCATCTCAATTTCAATCATTCACGACGTTTTTCCCTCGAGGATTCCCGGTGTTCTTCGAGGAAAGTTAGTTGTTAAATAGAATAAAACTATAATCATAATAGATTCTTTAAAAATTTAATTTAAGAAATAAAACGGGTAACTAAGAATCATTGTGACACGGATTTAATTAACTTCGAATTCTTTCTTTTCTCTATGACAATTTAATAAATTTAATTTATTCGTGTGACCATACCATAAGTGAGTTTTGGCTAGAAAATAGTCGAAACGTAATATTTTGTTATACGACAACATTAATCTTTCATGATTTTTATTATGTGATGTCATTAGTTTTTATTAAACAACATTGTATATCAATTGTAATCTAATGAGATATTATAATTCATTGCCCACAAATAACAGCACCGATATGTTCCTAATAGTATTTCTATAATTTCTATGTAATTGGTTGTTATATAGAAGGAATCTAAATTATCTTTTGATTGTATAGATATTAATCGCCACAATATGCTAATCCATAATGCACCTTCAGTTTGTATGCAATGAAAGAATGATTGAAACACCTTAATATTATTTTGTTCAAATAAATAATCCATTAATCGATAATGCCATTTAATGTTGAAGATTAAAGTTCCGAAAAAAGCTTGATAAGTAAATAGATAACACAACTTTGTTTTTCTTGTTAGCAGAAGCAAACTCAAATCAGTAAAAAAAATCACATCTCTCTTTTTTGTATAATTATAGCTTGATTGTTGAGCGAATATGAAATAGTTTTATTATATTGAAGTTTACTTTCATGATTAATCCATTTCTCAGGCTGCTTAGGCAGCGAGCGTGAACAATACATTTATTACTTTCCCATTTATTACTTTATGGAGTTGGAGAAAGAGAAACAGCAGTAAGAGAATTTAATCACTGAAGATGGCTCGAGAAGAAGCCGCAACGTTTGTTATTATGGTATGAAGAAGAATATGTGAAGAATAAATATTTGCTTTCCAATTACTGTGCACTTGACTCTTAGTTGTCCGTTTTATTTCCTAAATTAAATCTTGAAATAGATTTTTATTATGAAAAATTAATAATAATGCCCTCTTGACGGTGCTCACAAAATACTACAAGCGTTTCCTTTTTGTAGCAGTTAAACGTGTCCGTTCTTTTTATTATTAACACTTCAAACTTCGAACTCACGACCCTATCCACTTATCTCTTAGCGATGGATACGTAAGACGCCCGAGACTAGCCGCTTTGTACATTTGCTATCTTAATTCAAAGCAATGTAAAGCATGCTGACGTAAGTCTAGTGACTTCTTACATAGCTTTCAACTTAAAGCAACGAATCGTCACATTTATATATTCTTTGATCGATTGAACAAGGCAAGAATAAATCCTACAATTGTAGGAAATTGTCACGCATCCAATTTTGTTTTCTTGTTTAGCTACCGCGTTGTTAATCCTCGTGTCATCTGCAAAACTTATCTCTTTCACGTACACAATTATACATTGTTTCGTTGTTTTACCTATTCATCCGCTCGGAAAGTGTTTACAGTTTTATTACGTATAACGAAGATGAAACAATCTTTTCTTAGTTCTAACAATATTGGAGCACACGACTCGAAAGCTGGAGTAATCGACGAGTAAACACAAATTCATATACGGTACATTTATTTCACATTATACACAAACATTATTCTCTTTTTAAGAATAGTTCTTGACATCAACTATCGCACAGATAGCATTTATAAACTCAGACAACATTTACTACAACATGTTTAAAAGATCTTATAAACTTCTTTTAGATATATGTATATGTCCAAAAGACATTGAAAAAAAAAAACGTCTTTATGACGTCTTTAGATATGCATGTTGTTGAGAAAATAATTTGATTAATCGAAAAAGAATATTAATTTTCATCTAAATCGGATACAATAAAAATCTTTGTTTTTCTCACATAAAAAAGATAGTCTTTTAAGTAATTTGTTCAGTTAAAAAAAATTTTTACATAGCTAAGAATTATATATTTTTTTGACTTTTTTTACGCATGTAGGTAAAATGAAAAGGTTATTATCGAAAAGATACGTGATTTTCTCTGAAAAAATCTGATCTATGAAAATTAAATTTTCTAGAAAAACGTTTAAAGTTTGGCAATATTGTTTTAATATTGTCCCAAGTAACAATTGTTTAAAAATCTGTAAATAAAACTGTAATATTTTATGTCATAGTTTCTGTTTCATGAAAAAAAAATTATACAAAGTTTCTTTGGAGCTTGATCTCAATTTTCAAAGTAGCAACTTTACACGGATTGGTTTTAGAAAATGCGAGAAATAGATATCTAAATAGAGCACAAGTCATCATGATATTAAAATGACTCCAAAATAATTACTAAAAGTCACTTTTCAATTATTTACGAATTTTTTTTATTTATATTAACGTTGCGCACCACTTACCGCGCTGACTCCTTATTGCCGATTTGAAATTTGTTTTATATTTACGAATTATTTTAACATTATTTTGATATTATCGTGACTGTTCTGCTTATTACATAAAACAAAATTCTTGGAAATTCAGAAATTTGATCACAAGATGGGACAGGCATTGAGAAAAGTATCCAGTTTTTTATTATTTAACGTGTTAATTAAAATAAATGTCAATTGCAATTGATTACCTTCGTAACAACGCAGTTATAAAAACGGAATTATGCATAATATCGATATACAATTGTCAAAATATCAATCTTTAGCGTTCTTTCCCTTTCATCCTTTTCGCGGAGTTCTTTCCTGCAGGACGCAGGATGCTCACAACTCAACTGAAATGTCAACGACTTACGACACTTTAACTCGTCTTTGTAATCTTATAAGCCGAAACATTTTTTTTCATTTTAGAGAAAAGAAGAAGGCTATAGTTTCCTTTTAGAAGACACTGAGCGTCGAGACTGATCGAGACAAACGTCGTCCTATACCTTATTGGCATTCAGTGAATAACAAAGGAACGCAGTCAAAAAAAGAACGACATTTGTGTCGATCGTGTCTCCTAAAAGGAAAACAACCGACGTGTCAACGACACTCGGCAGCTCTGACTGTACGGTCCATGTGATTTCGACTGTAGCGTGCACGTGCGCACTCCCGCCGTCCCGCGACAACTGGCGCGCGCGATCTTCCAAAATGGCGGCAACCGGGCACTCGTGCCCTTGCGTGTCATTGACAGACAAAGTTCGGTCGGCCGTCGACAGTTATCAGACGGCTGCCACGAGTGCGTGGTCTTCGTGCAGTTCATCTCCTCGCCGATCGCGACCAACGGATTAACCTCAACTTCCAGTTCCTCGTCTCATCGTTATTTTTTCCCCTCTGTCAGTTGCAGCACGCCCACGGAGGTATCTTACGAGCATGACCGCTACGTCGGTGACGAGCCTGACGGTGAACACGCGGGTGTACGAGGGCCAAAAGCCGGGCACCTCGGGCCTACGGAAAGCCGTCAAGGTCTTCCAACAGGAGCACTATACGGAGAACTTCGTGCAGGCGACACTGCACGCCTTGGGCGATCAGCTGACCGGCTGCACCCTCGTCGTCGGCGGCGACGGGCGATTTTACGTGAGGGAAGCGGTGACGAGGATCATCCGAATCGCCGCGGCAAACGGGGTAAACGTCGAACCGTAGAATAGATTTTGATATAATAGCGAATTAATGTAACTGTAACAGCGAATTCATTCACTCGCATTACACTGAAATTAGCGCACATTAAAAGCAGCTATACGTGAAATTAATTAAGTTAAATGTGGAAACATAGATATAAATATCTAATAATGTTATTGTCGCGTTATTTAACAGAATATACGTTTATTATTTTATTGTCAAAGCTGATTATATTATGCCATTGCATTTAGATACTTTTAGATACTTTTATTTAGATACTAATGTAGTATAGTACAAAGTTCTAAGAATTAGAAGAAGATAACACAAGTAAATTAAACGGAGATTAAAGTTGATCTATATTGGATAAAAATGGACATATACAAAAGAATTCATTGATGACAGCAATCACATGTTTAACAGTTTTAATAATTTTTTTTCATATTAGAAAATATATAGATTCATGTGATTTTTAAAATAATATATGTATATTTATTTGATGACTTGATATTGACAAATTTATTTAGATTAAAGTAATATAAGTGGATAATTGTAAAAAATATTATCTATAGAATTATAAGATTATGATATACAGATACCAGAGATATTGTAATTTTTTTTTAGGTAAGGAAGTTAATAGTTGGACAAAATGGCATTCTGTCAACGCCAGCGGTGTCGACTATAATACGAAAGTATAAAACGCAAGGAGGGATTGTTTTAACTGCATCACATAATCCTGGTGGTCCTGATGCCGACTTTGGCATTAAATTTAATTGCGATAACGGCGGCCCGGCTCCGGACAACATAACGAATAAAATCTACGAGATTACCAAAACGCTCCAGAGTTATAAAATTATTCCTGATATTGGTATAGATATTGATAAAGTGCAAAGTGTATCTATTGAAGTGGATGGTAAACCATTTACCGTCGATATAATTAATTCTGTGAAGGATTATGTGGAGCTTATGAAGGAGATTTTTGATTTTGCAAGTATTAAAAAATTGTTACAAGGCAGTACTGATAGGCCAGCGTTTAAGGTTCTCATCAATTCAATGAACGGAGGTTAGACTTTATATAATTTGTAATTGGCTTCTGCTTTTTGTTATCTGGATATCAAAATAGAAGTTTTAATGATTTTTAGTTACGGGACCGTACGTAAAGCAAATATTTAGCAATGAATTAGGCGTCGATGATACTAGCTTAGTAAATATAAAGCCATTAGAAGATTTTGGTGGTTTACACCCCGATCCAAATTTAACTTATGCCAAAGATTTAGTGAATGCTATAAAGGAAGGACCGTATGACTTTGGTGCGGCTTTTGATGGAGATGGAGATAGAAATATGGTGAGCAAAATTTATCGAAAAGTGATCCAAAAAATTCATCTCTAAATAAGAAATAGTTTCACTAAATTGTGTACTTACAGATTTTGGGCAAGAAAGCCTTCTTTGTTACTCCTTCCGATTCCTTAGCGGTGTTAGCTGCTAATTTAAAATTAATTCCATATTTTCAAAAGACTGGCGTTAAAGGATATGCTAGATCAATGCCAACGGCTGCGGCTATCGATAGAGTCGCTGTTAAAAACAATGCAAAATTCTTCGAAGTTCCTACTGGATGGAAATACTTCGGTATGTAGAATTTTTATCTTACAAATTATCAATTTTATAATTTGTTCAATATAACCTTTATAGGAAACCTGATGGATGCTGGAAATCTATCGTTGTGTGGAGAGGAAAGTTTTGGTACCGGTTCCGATCATATTCGCGAAAAGGATGGATTATGGGCATGTCTAGCCTGGCTTAATGTGATCGCAGGACTAGGAAAATCTGTGGAAAATATTTTATTAGATCATTGGAAAGTTTATGGAAGAAATTTCTTTACTAGGTATACACAGTCTATTATTTTTGAATATATATTTAAATATTTTTTAATTCAACGTACCTAAATTTCTGATTATATCGTTGATTATAGATATGATTATGAAAACTGCGATTCTGCGTGCGCAGATAAAATGATGCTAAGCATCGAAACCCTGGTTGAGAAGCCAGATTTTATCGGCAGAAAATTGCAATACGAAGGTAAAGAGTATATTGTTAAGCAGGTGGATAATTATTCCTATACGGATCCTATCGATGGTAGCAAAGCTACGAAACAGGTATGTTCTAGGATCATATTAGTATGAATAATCTTGTATTTTCAAGCTAGTTATAAACAGTTTGTATATATTAGGGATTACGGATATTGTTTGCGGATGGCTCCCGTATCGTATTCCGTTTATCCGGAACAGGAAGTTCTGGCGCCACTATCCGTATGTATATCGATAGTTACGAAAACGATCCAGTTACTTTCGAAAAAGACGCACAACTTATTTTAAAACCTTTAATTAATATCGCATTAGATTTAAGCGAACTTTGTCAGCATACTGGTCGCAACGCACCTACAGTGATTACATAAGAGTTCGCTCGTTACGTTCTTGCGTTGCGGAACTATCTTATAAAAACAATAACAATTTATAAACGCGATATTGAAATAATAAAAATAAATTAAAAACGGGCAAATGAGAGTCACACATAATTATCGGTGCACAAATTACGAAATGTTGATAATTCTTAGAAATTTATTTATTTTATTTCAAACGTTTTGATTCCTCTCCACTAGGCCTATTCTGTAACTTTTTAACGACAATTTTACTAGCTAGGAATGCGCAGATATTTTACATGGTATAAAACCTGCGCATCGACAGTATAACGATACCGAATTGTCGTTACAAGTTACAGAATAGGCCCACAGGTCATTGAATATTGTCGACATTTAAAATTTGAAGAATGTTTCTCAACTCCAACTTGGCAATTTGAACGCATCACCGGCAGATGAATGTGTTTTTCTCGCATTAAGTGTAACGCAAGCAAATTATTGTCCAGTCGAAATCGGAAAATATGGATTAATTATATAATTCGATACTGTATAATTTTATTAAGATTGTGACTTGGAATTTTCTAGTAACATTATAATTTAACGTTTATTAAAGTTGACTGTCTTAATTATAAATTCTGCAATATATCGAATCGTATAATTGATCTACACGTTTTTCGACTCCGACTGTATAATACCGGCAGCAACTGCACGTGACTCTTGTTCGAACTGTCTTATCTCTCATTTATCTAAAAAGTTTTATAAAATGAAGGTCCGATTGGGGTATACCTATATTCACACATTTGGATTGTTCGTTCAATTTCACTATTAAAATCATAAAGCAATAGCATAACTGTTACTGGTACCAATGAAGGAATTTTCCATTTTTATAAAATGTTACCGTTTTACGATTCCATCCATATTATGTATATACTATGCGTATTGAACGAGAACTATTCAATATGCATAATGCATATCCAAGTATCAATTGTGAGAAAAGTGTTTTAGGATCTGTTAGGATCCTCTGCTAGATATTTAAAGTAGATGTTACTGCTTGAAATCTTCTTGTATCCATTTCAAGTTAATCGTAAAAGAACACGTTTTAAATTTACGTAATTCTTAAAATTTTGAGTGTATGAAAAATATTAGTATTTCTTTTGAGCATTAAGAGGTAACTTTTTGTAATTATCTTTGTTATTATTTGTAATAATAATCTCTAATTATTGGATAAAAATTTGATTGATAATTTGTTTTCTATACAATATATTACTTTTATATTTACATAAGTTTTAATAAGCATTAAAATTATGTTTATTTATATTATGATATAAATATATCTGACATATGTAGGGAGACTATTTGTAATGGAAAATCTTTGGGAAAATGTTTCTCGACGTATCATTACGTTATACAATGATATTGTTGATATGCAATAATCTATCTACTCGTTGCCGCAGCGTATGATAAAAAAAAAATGCAAAATTCATTGTGCCCAATTAAGAATGTGTAGATATACTCCAAAAAATGAATACGAAAACGTCTTGTACTTACTTGTTATTAAAAATCATATTGTCTGTACATTATTTCGGCGATAACATATGCATCTTTTTACCAATAGCTGACACTAAAGTTGATAAAAAACTTTCCTTATTATCGTACATTTATATTTTGCAGCCATAAAATTACAATATGTAATGAATGTCACCACGTGCATTCCGGTATGTAAAAATATAATTTGTAAAAATTACGATTTTGAATGGACAAAATATGGGTACATTGTCAATCTTCCAAAGCTTATGTCTATCCACGATTCACATCTAATATTCGTTCTATGATTTCCATTCATTTTCGTCCATAAGTTTTACAGACTTTTACAGTGAAAATACTATCTAATGCTTATTTTAATATTCTAGAGAAATTAATTTGGTTGGAAGTGTTAATGATCAATTAATATATTCCGTGGAAGAGGAAAATTATTTACTTAATAGCTAATAATTTTTTCCGCAATTGTTAAGGGCATAGAGACTGAAATTCAATATCAGATAGCATAATATTGGAGGATTAACAAAAGCGTAAATTCGATAGTCTTGAAGGACCAGTCTTTCCAACGTTCACAAAACTTATTTCTCTGCTTGTATAACAGTCGATGCTACGATTCAAGCAGAGATATAAGAGATTTATTTGTTAAATGAAGTACTAGATTTTTTATCTGAAGATGGAATGACTGGCCCTGTGAATTGAATGTAGCGTAATGGATAATAATAAGCGGCTTTAATTTATTCTGCTTAACGAAGTAAACATTTTATTATTAAATTAAGTCATCGTAAAGAAAACGTCACTGCAATCCACAATGGGTGGTGACGCTGCTTTCAAATTCTAATGATATATCTCAAAATCCTTTTTCAGCGTCAGATTATTATATAAAAATCATATTTGAGTCTAACGTTGTAGATTTATTTATATCGATAAATTTATACTTAAATTGGAGTGGGAAAGGTATAAATCTTTTTACACTTCGTCTTGTACAGTAGCATATGTAAAACTGCCTATGTAAAATTTATACTATTTATTGCAACACAGATAATACGAAGAGAATATTAAAATTCAAAAAAACATTGAAATTTTTGTAGATAGTAGTGTACAACTGTAAGAATCTTTTTTTTCATCAAAGCAGTCATCCATTGATCTTTCTGAAACTTTCATATATTCATTAATACCGCGCACAAAACTGACCATTTCATTATGATTCACAATTCTCTTCACTGCTGCGAACTGCATTTAAATGCATACAGTTTTCCTAAAATACTTTCTATCATGGTTATTCCTTAATCATCTGATCTTTCTACAAAAATATACACACACACACTTTGTTACTTTACTACTTTCTCAAAACAGTTACTACTTTTTCAAAACAGTTACTACTTTCTTAAAACAGTTCAGTTCTGACATTCAAATATCGAAAGAAGCATGGATGCTCAAATTGGTGAACTTACCAAAACCTGAGAAATATAGCCAGCAGAACCTTGTCACAATTTCTCAGAATTTGGACGATCCCAGATATAGCGATGTAGCGTTGCAAATTCGAATTTAGCGCGATACTCAGCGTTTTATAGTCTTCAAATAAATAGTTATTCTAATAAAATAATGCAACGGAAATTTTTATGCGTTTTCTATATTTTGTTGTGCTATGTTTGTTTCAAGGCGATACAAGGACAACATAATTCACTGAGTATCTCGTTAAGATTAATCGATAGAATAGAATACGTTAACGAATTTGTACAAAGAACAGTAGAATGATTCAGAAGAGAAAGAAATGGATTTCTTTCGACGAGGGATAAAAGTCACAACAAGCACAATTGGTGCAAAATTCTATATGTAACAGTATATCTCCACGTAAGAAGAAATGAACAATAGATATAGTAATATGAAAGTATGAAACACGTTCGATAGTTATGAGAGGCACGTTACTGTATCTCGCGAGTGGATGTCTCGACTGACTATCGATAACTAATAACTGCACAAATGTATTATATTACTAGTTTTCCTTTTGTTTCTTTTCATTTCGTCTTTGCTTCTTTTTTGTACGATATTTCACTACGGGCCTTTAAATCGGAAATATCACACAAGCTCGTTTTACATTACGGGAAAACGCGCGATCATGACTCACGTTTCATTTTGAATGAATTGAATAAAAATTTCACGAGGCCGGTGTAGCGATACGCCCGCGCCGCGGAGATAGATAAAAAATATGAAACAAAAGCAAAATAAATGTTACCGTTTTTTTTCCTTCCGTGAATAAATGCAGCGTGTTACGGAGAGATTTCGCAAGGCAATTATGTAAATAGTTGACGGTGAAGGAGAAGGAGAAGGGGAGGAGGAGATACTTAGGGACCTGAGCCGACACACGCCCCCGTTTGATCTATTAATTACGTTCTAGAAAAGTGCAAAGAAAGAAAAAAAGAGAAGAAAGTAGATATTCCGAGATACTCTTTAGAACGTAATGAAGATTACTTAACGCGGCGGCGATGTCACAGAGACCAGCACAGAGACTGCCGTACTATAAAGATATTAACATGTAACATTTGTATCATAATCATAATAAATACTAATTATCATTATAAGTATATGAATGAGTGGCTGCTCGGAATGCACGTGATATGATTCATCGCTGCTCCAATTTTTCTTAATTGTTCCATGCTGCATTTTCTAATTCTGGCAAAGTGTTCCTAGTACGATATAAATATGTGTTCTCTCCTTGTCAATTAATCAAATTTTTTAGTGTCAGCGGATTGTGTAAAAATATACATAACTGTACTTTTTTTTGCCGACTAGCGCTAGATGTGATCATACTCATTTTTAGTATCGCACATATCTTGAATGCGATCTTCGTGTTATAAGCAGAGACTGAACACCGAAATAAAGACTAAATAGTAAAACTGAATGTATTATAAATTTGTTTGATTCAATCTCAATTTTTATCTTAATTATACCAAACAATATTGCTATGTAGACGGTACTTTTTGAACTATTTGCAATCTCTGGTTATAAATAAAAATCGGTGTCTCATCTACGCTAAACCTTAAGTAGTAAGAATCTTCATGTTTAAACGGTTACGTCAACGCATTCTTCATACCCTTACGTTTAAGCGATTATGTTCAAGCGACATATACAATCTTAAAATGGTGACAATTAATCTGACTTTTAATAAACTTATCTCATTACAACGAATGTCTATGCGTGTTTTATTATTTTTAAGACATATTTATATTTGTATTTTCTAGGAATCCAGATAATACTACAAAGAGAGAACGATTTTTTATTCACTACAACTATAAAAAAAAGATCTTTTTACGAATAATGACAGTATTATTGGAGCTTATATTAAAAATAATATTCAAGATATAATATATTTACAAATAAAATATGACTTTTCATCACAAATTCTTTTTTACATTGTTATACATTAAGTTTTTTTGTATTAAAAAAAAAAACAAGAAAATTCATTTAATTACACTAAATCGAAATCATCCCTCTGTAAAACAAAAAATATATATATATTATATATAAATACAAATTTATGTTATTATAAATTACAAAAATATAATTTAACTACAATAATGTATAATAAGAGACATTGAAAGAATGCTCACCTCGTTATTGTATTCCAATACGTGTTTCCTGATAGCAGAGGTGTCTACCCATGTTACAAAGTCTTCTAAATTTCTATTGTAAAACATACAACTGATAGTTTTATTTATTTCTTCGACATGTGCAGTAAACCAAATATAAAATGTTACCTTGTTACTAAAAACGCTGGATCTTTTACAACTTCTACTCCAACTCGGACATGACCCTGTTCTATCAATTTTGTCGCCATACGTATTGTCTGACTCATCTTGTTGCGTACCATGACAACCGGAAGTCTTCGTCTGCAGAAGCAACTGGCGGTTACTTTCTGTGTCTGCGACAAGTCCCATTTGGTGGAAATTAAGCCCATCATATACAGCTTCTCCAATAACATGGCACTCTGCTCAATACGAAAGGGATGATCAGGCTCGACTTCCTTAATCTTTTTGCCCAACTCTCGTATATCTCGTGACAGTTTGTTGTATCTACAATCAATTTTGATAATTATCGTTTAAGTTGATAAGTAGTTACAGCATACTCATCTTGAAAATCTTATTTTAAAAAGCAAAAGTAAAAAGAAGAGCCCGAAGTATTAAACGTTCATTATTTGTACATTCATTTCACATTATGCAATCGTAATAAACCATTTATTATTGTTTATACATGCTACGTGAAAAATGAATATATTCCTACATCTTTAGTTATTGCAAAGAATATTACTAAAGCCTCAATGGTCTAAAGGATCAGGATACCTGCACAGAATGCAGAGATCCGGGTTTGACTCTTGGCCAAAATAATATTTTTTGCAATAAATTTATTTACAGATTTCTCCAGTACTTTTTAAAATCTTAAAATGACGCCAATTGAGCATCAAATTATTAAATTACTCGTCAATTTAATTTGTGATATTACTACAATAGTTCAGTTATATTTCTGAGTCTAAAAAACCAATTTGACGCGCAATTTGAGAAATTAAAATGTGACCGCGATGCATGCTCGCATCGCAGTATTTCGCAGTTATGACAGATTTCCTAACCTCAATAATCGTCAAATTTAACGATTAATATCTTGGTTCACAGGGCAGAGCGACACTTTGTTTAACAGATTCAATTATTTCGTGCAAAAACGCGTCGAATGAGCTTAATTTCATCAAAATTAGTAAAGACAGAAAATTCTTGAGAATTGCCAAAACACATTTTTGTTGCATAGTGAAATGTATTAATTTAATAATCCCACTTACACCGTATAATCCGCTCTTCTCTGAATACAATAACGTTTCAAGATTTTAACCTCATGGAGATTGTTGTCAGCCTGCCAAGACAAGAAATCTACTTTTTTCAGCAGCTTCTGCTCATGATACTTTAATTTTCGCACCATCGTAATTATCGATCGTGGATCAATTGAGGTAGATCTGGCAGATTGAAAGGAGAAATGGCTTGGTGATCAACGAGTCTACACAAACACTGAAGTACACAGCCTCAGAGGGAAAGAGTCAGAGTGGCAAATTGGTCACGTGAATGAGTTTCAGTGCCCACGTCCAATCAGGATCAATCAGGATTGGAATGTTAACTCCTGCGTCCAATCACAGAGAAAGAACAGTTTGCTTCCTCTCTCTTCCTCTGAGCCTCTCCTAGGGCTGCATTCTAGGTGATTTTAGGGCTGTCAATCTTTGTTGTTTATCAAATGTTAAACGAGGACAAACGATGAAACGGTGTTCGTAAAACTCCTGTGTTCACAGTGCTAGAATTCGGTCCGAATTCTCGGATCGAGAAATGTGTAGCCAATCAACTTACCGTCTTTCACTAAAAACTACACGTTGATTGGCTACAATTCCTGAATCCAAGAACTCGCCAACACCATGGACACAGGATTTTAGAGAATTTAAAGTATTTTTCCTCTCTTTTTCCTGTAATTTTATAAATTTGTATTTTATGATGTAGATACGTCGCTCTTATTTAATGTAATTTTATTTTTCTTTTAATTTCAAAGGTTTTTAACGTTGGTAAGTTAAAAACGATAATTTAATAATAATTTACGATTATTGGTGCGTTCGAAGAGACACTATTTCTATCATTCCATTTTCGTTGTTTATTAGATGTAAAATAAGGATAGAACGATACAAATAGCATAGCGTCTCTCCGACGCAAATAATGCATGCATGTACTTTTCAGTAAATATCGCATTTACCTTTTGATCAAAATAAAATGAAATTTTGTGCAAAATTGGAATTTCTACATTAAAAATAAAACGTGCATACACGTGTATTCATTCCGTGTTATCATGTGATATAATAACTTTCAACTTTTCCCGCAATAGCACTAAAATCGCATCGTCCCGATTTGTTTTCCAAAGCCATATTTCGTGCTTACTTTTCATCTTTTTTGAGTTTGAACTACCTGAACTAGTCGAACTCCTTCGAAAAGAAGGTTTGAGACTCAAGATAAAAAGACGAGACAAAAGTGAGGTGGAGCGAGAGGAATATCCGGACCGGATGTGCAGCGCTGACGGAACACAAGATGAAAGAGGCATGACGCCATGTTCGCCATGTTTTGATGTCGTCATCCCCCCCACCCCCACCCCTGAACGTTGTTTCGCCAGAGGATAGCCCGTGTTTTTTAGCGTGTGCTTTCCCGTAGATTCACGCCGCAGCGCACGTTCCCGGCGATATCCGGTGGTATCCAGTGGTTCTCGGTGGTTTCCAGTAGTTTCCAGTGGTTTCCGGTGGCACGGTGGCCCGTCGCGCGTTCAATGCGTTCACCAGCTCCGTAAGTGCCCCCGTTAGCCCGTCAATCTGCATTCACGCCGCGCGGAGCTTAGTGGAGCTGAATCTGCTGGATAACCCTCGTACAAAGTTCATCCAAATCCAATTCTTCGGTCGGGCTCGCGCTCACGCCTGGACGTTTTCATGTCTGTGGAAGTGGCTGCGGTGCGGGGGGAATCTACTGTTTACGACGTGGTGGTCGTGTCCTAGTGATTCTAACGAGATAGAGATCGATCGGAGCACAGCCGTTCGCCACTGACCCCGCCACCTTACGTTAGCACTGCCTCGTTGTCGTAGTCGTCGTCGTCGTCGTCGTCGTCGTCGTCGTCGTCTCGTCTCCGCTCATCCATCCTGACCGACGGCGCGCACGTTTCCTTCGGTGCTGCGCGTGCACGTCACGTCACGTCACCTCCGAGAAAGCACAGACCCGTGCGGGACGGATAGAGCGCCTTACGTGCGTGCGTGCGTGCGTACGTGCGTACGTACCGTGCGTGCGTGCGTGCGTGCGTGCGCGCGTACGTCTCCTTTTCTCGGCTTCGTTTTCCTTTCGAGTACAACAGGAACGAGGGAAAGAACTCGCTAGTAAAAATGGAGTTGCGCTTGCACTCGCCAGCAGGAGCGGAACCGATCGTGTACCAGTGGCCTCTTACCTCTGGATCAGGCTCTGTAAGTAAATTGACGGAAATTCATGTATACGACTGTCCATCGCCTGCATTTATTTTTTCTTCTTATGCCACTCTACGCTACCGAGCATACCATAGCTCCATAATATGTCAAATGTTTTATGTATATACGTGTCTGTATAGGATCGTCATGATGGAGCACTGGATGTTATCGAAACTATGCGATGGGTTTGCGAAGATTTGCCAGATTTAAAATTACCCTTAGAAAACAATATCCTCTGTGACTATGATCCAAGAGACTACGAAAGTATGAAAAGCTTGTGCGATAGATTTAATAGAGCCATCGATAGTTTAGTACAATTGGTATGTTTAGCTATATTTTCTCGTAATATATTGTGTCTGTATATTATTTCCTTTCACTTCCTTTAATTTATCTTCTAAGCTCTAACGGTAAAACATATTCAAATATGTATCTATAGGAAAAAGGCACCAGTCTGCCATCCCAGAGACTAAATAAGAGACCTAGTAGAGGATTACTTCGTCATATACTTCAACAAACTTATAATCAAGCTGTGGTTGAACCAGACAAGTTAAATCAATACGAGCCTTTTTCACCTGAGGTCTATGGCGAAACAAGTTATGAGCTTGTATGCCAGATGATTGATCAGATTGACGTAACAGAGGACGATGTTTTCGTAGACCTAGGTTCTGGAGTTGGCCAAGTTGTTCTTCAGATGGCAGCTGCAACTTTATGTAAAATTTGTATCGGCGTAGAGAGAGCTGATGTACCATCAACATATGCACAGGTACCAATACACATAATAATAGATTAACGATAAATTTCTTTTTATTTAAGTAACTAAAATAAAGATGGCATTGTCTTATTCATTTGAAATGTTAAACTATTGTAGAGTATGGAAATAAATTTTCGAAAATGGTTAAATTGGTATGGGAAACGGTGCGGAGAATATCGTTTAATAAAAGGAGACTTCTTAGCCGATGAACATAGGGAAAGTATAACCGGAGCTACTATAGTGTTCGTTAATAATTTTGCATTTGGCCCAACGGTTGATCATCAGTTGAAGGAACGCTTCGCAGATTTACGGGATGGCGCACGTATAGTGTCCTCAAAATCGTTTTGTCCGCTAAATTTCCGAATAACGGACAGGAACTTGAGTGGTAATACATTCATCTCTTAACGAATATTTCCAGAAATTCCACAATTCTGATTTTTGCAATTTTTGTCCTGTCAGATATTGGAACGATAATGCATGTTTCGGAGATGTCACCATTAAAAGGTTCCGTCTCTTGGACTGGTAAGCCAGTGTCGTATTATTTGCACGTAATCGATCGAACGAAATTAGAACGTTATTTCCACCGCTTAAAAAACAATAAACAAGGTGGCTTAGATGAAAACTCTGATTCTGTGATAAGCAACACTGCCAGCAATAGTAGTAAGATTTCTAATAGGAATGAAAGAGGTGACAGAGCCAAGAGAGATCTTTCGAGACAATTGGATAGTCCGAATCATTCAGAGCAGCAAGGAACAAATAGTGACTCCGATCTAGACGACAGCACTATTAAAAGTCGTCGACAGCCAAATAAAATACGGAGGAAATTCAATCGAAAAACTACGAATGGTATTACGAGAGCTCCAGCTAGAGGTAGACAAAGGGGAAGAGGCGTTAAGAGAGCCAAACCTAAGAAGGCAATCAATATATCTGGACTAGATTTGTTACATAGTCAGACTTTACTCAGTACGTCACCTCAAGCTCTTGGGAAAAAGCCTCCACCTGCTCCTGGTTGTGTAGACCAACAACTGTCTTCATTGTCACTTTCATTGCAATCGCATTCCACTTCAGTGCATGAAGAACTCAGTATACCACCCGCTCCGTCCGCGACTCCTTACGCTTTACAAATACTTCTGGACTTGTATAGGTAATTATTTTATGAATTTTCTCTATCATTTTGATTCTGTTTTTCTCTGTGTTGTTAACCTTTAAATATACAGGTAGGTGTAGTGACCATGGCATTTCAGGTACCCTATAGTTTTCTTTAGTATTTTGTTTTGAAAAAGGAAAATAAAATAATTATCGCCCATATAAAGTTCATTATTTTTACATTCTCCTATGTCATGAGGATATAACTAATATAATTTATCTAATGTAATATTCCAGTGAAAAACATGACTATGAAATTAAAATTTATGGGGAGGGGGGCTGTTCTGAGTATCTCATCTTCCAACTTGTATACAACTTTAAACCATCCGTTTATTTTTAAAAGTTTATGTTATGAACAAAAACCTATTTTTGCCGTAGGGACCAATTTATGCTTATGTTAGAATCGATGAGAACTCCCACTTACAAGTTATCTGTCAATACGGATATTGCAAAAGAAAGGGAAAAGAACTCCAAGCTTCAGTCGAGAGCGGCGCAATTGGAAAAACAAATCAAAGTGTTGATAGATGATAGTGTAGCTCTCTTGAAAGCAAGAATGACTGAATTAGGTATCAATGCTACATCACCTGGGGATTTGTTGGCGAAAGCCAAGGAAATAGTTCTAAGACATAAACAGCTACAGGCTAAAGCGAGCAAATTACAAGCGCAAGTGGCATCAATGGAAACTGAACAAAACAGATTAGTGGCGCTTAGACATCAAGAATTACAGGAAAAATATAATGGTCATGCAAATGCAAATGGCATAATAAGTTTACATCAACCGCTCACCGAGGATTACTTATTAAAAGAAATTTCCGCCACTCTTTCTCAGCGTAAACGATTACATTCTCAGGTTGGTATTTTTGTTGTTTAATTATCAATTAATTTAATTTATGCAATAACATATGTATTACTTTTGTATCCTTTTTTTTTACTTTTTCCTTATTTCTTTCATATTGAATTTACATATATGTATGTATGCGTAAGGCGCAAAAAAGATTGTTTCTTTTTAATATATCACTAAACTTCTCTTTTATGCAATAGGTTTCAAAGCTAGAGCATGAATTAAATGTATTGGAAAGAACAAGTAACGAGAAGCAAGCCGCTGCTATTGCTCAGCAACAAAAAGACGCGATTGGAAGTAAACATTCGCAAAATTTACATCATAGTAGTCAGCAACTAAGTAGTAAAAATGGAGCAGCGCGTAAAAGTAGGGAAGGTCGTTCGAGATCGCAGGAATGGCCTGACGTTCCGGACATAGGAAAGATACAAGAGAATAATCCAGAAATATTAGCGCAAAAGATTTTAGAAACGGGAAGACAGATAGAAGCGGGTCGTATACCAAGCAGACAAAGCAGCAATAGTAATTCCAGAACTAGACTGCCACAGGCTTCTCTCACTTTCTCCACATCATCTTGTATATTAGCCACACAATCGCAGATGGCCAATACAGACATATCGAATAGAATTCAAGAGCCTCCTAGAGTCGCCAATTTTGAGGATAGACTGAAAAGTATCATCACAAGTGTATTAAACGAAGATCAACAAAACAGGAACAAGCAACAACAGATGCAATTGCAAGTGCAATTGCAAAGTCAGTCCGAATCCGAGAGAAAGCGTGTTCCGTTACCACAGAATGTTTCTACTCCGGATTATACTCAAGTGAGTATAATGCACTGATTCTTAAACGCATATCTGGCGTGTTCATGTAATCTCGTAAAAGTAATCTTAAGCCCGCACGTGTAATATTTCTTATCGTTTTAGGTTTCACCTGCAAAGCTAGCATTGCGCCGTCATCTCTCGCAAGAACGTCTCTCATCGACTCATTTGACCCCGTCTGATAGGTCGACAATCGATCCTAGGCAACCATCGAATTATGACAATCGGCTTGTAGCGAGTGGAAGTGGATTACTCGGTACAAGGACGATTGGTGATCTCGTCAGTGGAGAAATAGAAAGAACTCTGGAGATATCCAATCAGTCAATAATAAATGCCACCGTTGACATGAGCGCAATCATGAGACCCGAAACTGTATACTCTCCCATTAGTAGGCCAGCAAGTGCCGAAGGAGATGCTGGATTGTCAACGTTGGCGCATGTAGCTAGCTACGTGCCTACCTCTTCGGGAACTTCTACCTCCACACCCACGACTAGTTCGAGATCATCTGTAGTTTTCACTCCGGTAACGCAACCACAAAGGTATTTATTCCTTTATATTTCACGATTACTTTACGCGATATGTGAAACGCTTCAGATACAGGATGAATTTTTTCCATCATCAGATATACACCGGTTCAATTGCCGCGAGCAGATATTAAGCCCTATCACGAGTCTTACTTTTCGGATAATCCATCTCAGTCGCTCATACAATCACATTTGGCAGCGTCACCTTTACATTCGTCTCAGAACACATCGAATGGAGAATTGTTACCTGTAGAAGGGCTCGCAGCATCGTTGCACGCTCGAATATTAAATCACAATGGTAGCGGCAAAACCGAATTGACTCTTTCCGGCAGTAGAAGGTAATAATATCATACGTCACATTTGAAATCGATCACGTAATATGACATTCTTATTATATTTAGATATCAGCCATATCCGCGATACCCAACAAGCAGTAATAATAATGGAAACGCACCGATGATAAATAATACGATAAATGCAGCTTGTCAATCACAACCATTGATATCAATAAAAACGGAAGCGATTGTATCATCGGTAAGCACAAGCGGAGCACCTCTAAGTCCTCTTGTGGAACCACATTCTAATACTTCGACGCCACTAGTCGATGAACCCCAAATGACAACGCAAAGACAACGAAATGCCGTTGGAGATGACGGTAAGCGTAAGAAAAACTTGTGCTTTTGGGACTTAAAAGAAATGTCCTATCAGAACATTGATATAAAATATATGCTTGGCTGTACTTCTATTGACTATGCTTTTCGATACAGTAGCTACGGAAGATCTATTATAATATGTGAAATTTTCGAATAATACTTTGATTTCTCTTATATTCTCAGATACTTTACGATAAAATAGTTATATTATCAATTAAAGTTATTAAATAACACAAATTATATGATAGCATTGCCTTATTTATCAATTCAAAACGAAAATTTGCCGAAAATATGCAATTTTCTTTAGGAAAAAATACACATACCTTTTTTGAAGAGAAACACATATATGTATTTATCTTATTTTTCTTAGTCTTATCAGCTGCAATCAAAATCTCGTTACAAATGTTTTGAAGCATTTGATTGACTCCTCAGAAGAAAGAATTTTACAAATTGACCAATCAAGAAACTCTTTAAAGCATCGCGTTGACCGTATCCATTATCGTGTACATAACAAAGGATGTAGAACATATGATAGTATTGCCGACAAAAATCTTTGCACTACAACTCTAAATGCCATTTTGCGCTTAGGTCTTTTTAGATATACAGTATTATTTTTCTCCGATGCATCTCTTCACGATTTACATGCACTAATGGTTTAGCTTATCTTACGGAGCTGGTACCTGACTTTTATTTATATTTATTTTTGTTGTTGTTTGCTGTATTTGTTAGATGCACTGTAGCTGTTTGTTGGTTAGTTCTGTCTGTCACATACTCAGTCTCAAAATCCCTGAAGCTTGTTTTATTAGAGATTGAGACACACAGATGAGAGGGAGAAATGAAAAAATACGGCTGCCTGTGGGTTGGTTCGTCGGTTCAGTCACCGGTGAGTTGTCCCACGGGGGTCAAAATCCATTTTGCTATTTGATTCTCATTCCGTAAAATATATAAAAGATTCTATATCATTTTTTTGCCTTGTAGGCACACGTGCGAGCAGCGTATACCCCTTCTATTTTAAGAAACAACACAAAAGACACTATTTAGAAATCCGTTTCCATGAAAATAAGCCAGACTTGCAAAGATACAAATTCTACTTCTTCTGAATGAATTATATGTATATAGCATGTTGAATCAGAGTTTAAGCTAATGTATTCTAATTGGTGGATTGTACTTTTAATGCATGTTGCATGAAAAATTTTTTTTTAATTTTCTATTCACATTTGACTATTTGTGTTCCACTTCTAGTATAACTTTCGGTTTAATCATTAGTGTATATATTTTTATATGTGTATGTATATATATATATATATAGTACAATTAGTATAATAATACATATTAGTATATAATTTAATTTACATTCGTTTCAACATTTTGATGTATTTTATATTTATAAGAGCTTCAAATTTTATTTAAGACATTTATTTTGTTTAAAATTAAAATATTTATTATTTATAGCTACGCGATGTATATCCGTTTGTAATTAATGTAATTTAATTTTAATCTCAATTTAACTAACTTCATCTTTTTCCAGTTCTACGAATTTAAAGTTAATATGTATTAGTACAGACGAGCATTAATATTATAAATAAAACTGATTCTCTAATTTGTTCTTTGTTTAAACATTTGCATTAAATAAAAACACAGTAACTTATCTAGTACTTAAAATTTACTTTAATATTATCTAAAATGTTGCACACAATAAATAATAATCATAGTGTATAAATGTAAACTTTGATTTTAATTTAGACAATTTTTACGTTTTCTATTCTTGTAGAATACGTATATATTTATAAGATATATAATTGCATAAATGTATGAAAGATAATTGTGGACCATACTATATTTGTATCTAATTAATGGCTTATTTTTATGAAAATTTAGTGACATTGCTTATCTAATTGCTAATTTATTGTAATCATGTTAATTGAGATTTATTTTGCAGATGGAGAAGCTGATTGGCAAGATCGTATCAGCTCAGGATTTGATCGTTTGGTCGCGTTTGCTTCCACAGAATTGGATAAACGTAGACGATCGACAGAAGGAGTAAATACAAGTCCCGATAGTGGATTAGGTTCGGATAGCGTCGTAACAGGGCCACCACCTGTAGTACCTTCTCCTGACGAAGCGATTGGACCGCCGAGAACACCTTCTCCGACAAGCCCCCGTCCTGCAAATTCATCTAGTAGTAATCCTTTGAATGCAACATCTTCCTCAGTACCTTTGAAATACCAACGACAACTAGATCCTGAACGACATCACTTTAAGAAGAAGTTTTTTCATCGTGATTGGAATAATTCTGCGAGTACCAGCAAGTTTCGTCCTAAAGGCAAAGATTGGGATTGGAACCATTCCGGGCAATGGCCTTCGAATGACGAACAATCCTAATTTTACCTACATTGTACGAAAGATAATTTTTATACATTAATGATGAGAAATTTTGCTTTTTCTTTCGAGGTGAGGGAAATAAAACGGGCGTTGTTTTTACTTTTAAAGTTATTAAATTATTGTTCTCGTTTTGTTATGTATAATAACTCTCTTTTATAATATAATGACGACGTGTATTTTATCGTATACATTTTATCGTTTATGATATCCAAAAAAAGACATAAGTATCTTGTATAATTAAATCAAGAACAGTTTAAGACTTTTGTTTTTTTTTCACTGCATATGGATAAACGATATGTAGAAAAAAGAAATACGAAAAGTTGCATAAACTTTTTTATTTCATTCATACATCAAACAAATGCTCTAACAAATAATCGAAAATCTTATTAACTGTCGTGATATTTATCCTCATTAAAAATGTAAACAGCACGAAAAAATTTATGTATTCTTATATATACTTAATACATAAAAACGAATTCATATTTCTCGTTTCTAGCAGTAGAATTTTTAATATCGCAGTGAGAAAGAGCAGAAGCCTTAATGAAAAAGGAAAAATATGTCTATAGACATATTTATAATCTGTAAAAATATATATGTAAACACATTTGAGTGAGATCAATGAAACTGATAAATTTGTGGTTCATTTAACTTAAAATACATTTGTATTATAGAATGAATATAATTAAGAATAAATGGAAATAACAAATCGAATCATGAATTTCAAGTTTATACTGGTTAAGATTGCAAGGTTATTAGCAATTACATGTGTTATATATTGAGAAGAATTTACAGATATTGAAAGAGAGTTATATATCTGATATTATTCTCACTGATGTAGCATTTTAAGGTATTATTATTATTATTATTATTATTATTATTATTATTATTATTATTATATTATTATTATCGGTAATCGAATTTTTTTAAAGCTTTGTGAATAATTATCACCATTTATGTTTCTTCTAAAAATAATACAATATTGTTGAGATTGTATACCACGTATGTGTAGATTATAAAGGTCTCGTAATTTACGCCTGTATACACATGCACATAAAATTACATAACACAAACATAGATGCATACACATGACTTGGTTGATGCACATTAGACACGTTGAAAGAAATATCATAATGTTGTAGGGATCATGATGTAGGTATGTATCATAATGTACGTATGTATGTATGTACTGTATTGTATGTGCCTCCGTGCACGCGCGTACACATGTGTGTGATGTTTAATATGTACATATATTTGTATGTATGACGGTATGTATTACAGGCGTATTACGGTAGACCGAGCAATTGGCATTGAAAAAAAAGAGGAAAAAAAACAAGCCAGCAAAACCTTTGTGTGTTCGTAGCAAATATTGGCTACAAATTTTATATACGGCTATATCTTCCACCATTTGGAGGATATATACCTAAGTGTTCACTGTGGTTCATAAAATTATGGCAATGGACCGTATAAAAAATAGTCACTTAAAAATGCGTTCGTATTTCAAGACGAAAAGTTAAAGGCAAATTGTTTTTTTCGGTACACATCTACATACATTGTTGTGTGACTGTGCGAAATATCCAAAGAATGGCAGTTGCGAGTCAGTTTACAAAGTTTTATATGATGCATCATATAATTGGGCATCATGCATGATTTTCGGTGCTGCGAAATAAATCGAGTAAACGTCGAATAAACAAGTAGTACTTCAAATTGACGCTTTAAAAAGGCGATGCTATATTGTATGTATAAAGGTCCTTTCTTTTTTACATTGCCGAGTTATTCCGGTCATGTACAAGACGATTCTTAATTACATGTCAATCCACAGTACATATTCTGGCGTGATCTATCGTTTAATCTAAAACATCATTTTAGGCTGTATTGCGCATGTGCGCTACAAAGAAAAATGGGCGCTTTAAATATCTTAAATTTATTACAATTCGGAAATATTGTTTCTATCAGATTCATCGCGATATTGACATATAATTTGGTTTCATTTTGTACATACATGTGTATTACAATAGTTATATTATGTCATTTCAAATTGCACTTAAAACATTTATACTTGAAACGCTTATCGCTCACTTGATTCCTTATCTAATTATTGTAGACATAAAAAGGATTCACACAATCTATAATGTATGCTTACATGTATCAGATATTTTTAAGTGTTATTTGAGATGAAACAGTATAATTGTAATACAGAGATATATACCTATACATGTATATATATATATATACATATA